AAAAACTGGATGTTGTTGGGAAGAAATGTTTTAGGTCTAGAACATTTCATTAAGATCACTCAAAAAGAACAATGAGATTTCATACTTGTAATGGTACAAACCAAAAAGGTTTTATGCATCAATTCTTTGGTGAAAATATCTAGAACAATTATTTGTTCACCGTTAAGTCAGAAATAGGTTTCGGATTTTGGGTTTCACTTAAAATCATGGTGACAATGATTTTTAAAATCATGAACACAGATGTTGTGTAACCATAAACCTTAGTGGTAGTTGATGAGAGTCTCAAGGGTTACACTTATGAAATCGAAATTTGATGTAGAAATTGTAGATTGGTGCTGAAGAAGAAAGTGTACCTCTACTATAAATAAATTACAAAACAGTGAACTTTTAACTCAATGTGAGAATAGTAAGGTAGCTCGATAACTTATGTGAATAAATAACCTGATTGGGAAGAAACGGTCAGAATGAACGTTTCATTAAGGCTTCAAACATAGAGTCTAAGAGGCTTGAGTCAACATGCAACAATATGCTTCTAAGGACACTTAGCTAGTACATAAATCCGAAATTATATCTTCCCCATCTTTTAACACTTACTTTATTAACCCTTTTAAGTATGATTATTTATCTTTGTTATTCTTTCATAGCATATCCCTATATATATAATAATTATCTTTGTTTTGATATCTTTCATAGGTTATGATACACTCAAGTACATTTCATATCCTTATGTTTTCTTTTGATATAGTTTTATTCCATAATCATTCTGATACGTGCGTGCGTGTGTGTGTGTGTGTGTATATATATATATATATATATATATATATGTGTGTGTGTGTGTGTGTTTAGATATATTTGAGATCATGTTAATTTTGTAAGATCGTGAGATGCAATATAAAAATAATTTTAAAATGCAAAATAAAAGGAAAAATCTGAAAATTCGTTTTTTAATTATTATTTTCGTAATTTTCTTTACCTAACATAAATAAAAACAAATAAAATAAAATTACCTTTTTTTTTTGAAAAATATATGAAATATTCTAATAAAATATTTCAATGTGATTTTTAGAATGTTAGAATATTCTAGTAGATTTGTCAGATATGTAAAATATTCTAATATTCTACAAGAATATTTCACAGATATTTCAAAAAAACAGTAATTTATTATTATTATTATTATTATTATTATTATTATTATTATTATTATTATTTTGGATAAAAAAGTGATGAAAATAATATTATAAAAAAACTTTCAAAAATTTTCAATTATTTTGTATTTTAAAAATATTTTTTTATCTATAAAATGAGTGGCTATGATTGCGTCTTTTCGTATTTTCTTTACCTAACAAAAATAAAAATAAATAAAATAAAATTACCGTTTTTTAAAAAATACGTAAAATAATCTAATAGAATATTACACTGTATATATTTCAATGTGAGTTTTAGAATGTTAGAATATTCTACTATTCTACTAGATTTGTCAGATATATAGGATATTCTAATATTCTACAAAAATATTTCACAGATATTTCAAAAAACGGTAATTATTATTATTATTATTATTATTAATATTATTATTATTATTATTATTATTATTATTATTATTATTTTTTGGATAAAAAAGTGACGAAAATAATATTAATTTTTTTTTTCAAAAATATTCAATTATTTTGCATTTTAAAAATATTTTTTTTATCTACAAAAGGAGTGGTTAGGATTGCGTATTTCCGTCTCACAAAATATAGTGGTCACATGAACCTAACCTTTTATATATATATATATATTATATATATATATATATATATATATATATATATATATATATATATATATATATATATATATATATATATATATATATATATATATATACACAATTTTGCCAGTGTATTGACTAGGTATAATTTTTTAGAATCATATAAGACATTATAACGACTAGGCATAATATCATTATTAATGCTTAGGTAGGGTAAATATCGAGCATAATATTATCCTAACGTTTGCATGGAATTTCAAAACTATTGATATATTACAAGTAATAATCTTTGTGAAATCATTGAAATAGTTTTATAGCATGTATCTCCTCCCTCCCCCCCCCCCCCCCCCCCCCCCCAATACAAACATTTGAAGACACTAAAACTAGGTCCGTGAAACTCACCCTAGAAGCGTGATACTTTGATGTAGGATAGATTTGGGGCTTGGGACTTTGGAGATTGCCTCAGGATGTTGTGGCTTCGACGAGAGAGAGAGAGAGAGAGAGAGAGAGAGAGAGAGAGAGAGAGAGAGAGAGAGAGAGAGAGAGAGAGAGAGAGAGAGAGGATGCTTAAGATGGATGTGTAGATAGGATTTGAGGAGACCTCTATCAATAACAATGTTTTGAGGTGACCACAACACAAATATCTATATGTGTCGTACATAAGCTTCGTGACTACCTCCGGGAGTCGTCAGGTGTCACTCTCTCGTCGAGCCATATCACTTGTAATCTTCACGAATTCGGGGTCAAAATACGTGCCGACAAGGCATACACCTCACACGCAGAAATGATTTTGTAAATATCATATTTCAGGTGTATGAGCTCCAATCTTAACCCTCTCTATATCTATGTAATGGTCTCAACTATCACTATAACTTTCATTTAGATTGTTTTAGCTAGTTTTGACTTTCCCCTGTTGGTCTAATAGGGGTATGATTTTAATTATTTAAAAAAAAAACCATATCTTCTTCATATGGACTCTATTTTCCGTGTTATTTGTCTTATTGTTCTCACTTCGAGAAATACTACGATTTTCCTTTTGGTGTTACTAGCCAAAACTCGACCAATATCTTAATCCTATTTCAACATTGATTTAACTTTCTACAAAAATCATATCTCCTCGAATCGAAGTTAGATTTTTAGGACATCACGTACTTTCCAAATATGTTAACTAGCTTTGAAAACGATACGACTTTTTGGATACTCATTTTTTAACCTATGAGTCAATTTATCCTTAAATAGAAAGAGTATACACAATTATATTCATTTATAAAAACGAAATACCATATTGATACTCTGTTACATTTCTTTATCTAAACTAATTTATAATCGTTAGTAACGACGTCTTCCCAATTGTCACAAATCACCAGGACAACTACAAATAAACAAACAATATACTTGAAATAATGGATTATGTATTAAGTGAAGTACATGTTGCCTTGAGAATAGAAGATAATTGAAAATTCAATTTCATTCCAACCCTGATTGTATATTTTGTAATCAAATAACAATGGATAATTTATAAAATTAACCGTAATCGGCTATTTAACCATAATAGATAATCAAATATTGAAAAATCAAAACTAAAAAGTGAAAACACTACACATGTTGTTTCAGTGACAACCTTGAATCTTTAGATATTTTTGAACAATTGAGAATCAGAGAATCATCGGAGAAGCCGAGAACGCAGAAGGAAGAAGAACAAAAGGTATTTCAATGGTTCAACCTTTTAGTGGTCAAGAATAGAGATTGGAGAAGCCGAGAATTGAGAATCAGAGTCCAAAGAATGGAGAAGGAAGAATAACAAAAGTGTGATCGTCGCTAACTTGGAAGAATCGAGATAGACTATTTTTTTTTTTTTGGGCTTTAGGCGTGCGTACTGTGAATAGAGAAGGAATATCGCCATTTGAGAAATTGGGTTATGTGGGACTCTTTAGAATTGGGTAATCCCTAACTTTACTCACATATGCGTAAGATCGGCCCTGAAACCATACAACCAATCAACCTAAAACCGTTAAGTATATAAGGATGACATCATTTTTCTAACATAAACCCACATTGTTGCAAACATAGACAAGCCACTTGTACAAAACATTCCACCTCTCTAAATCATATGCTTATACAGTATAAAATATCCTTGCATATATTGCATATGTTATATAATAAATAACATTGTTGCATGAATTGAAAAAATAACAAACATTTTTACATAATGAAATAGTTAACCCTTTGTTTTATTTTAAGCACCGAATACCGAAAACTTATAAAGTACTTCTAAAAGAACGATCTGGATATTGGTTGAAACCAATTTTTCAGGACAAAAATGGCTACCAAGAGCGCTTGAGTAAGTGGATGTACCATCTTATCAAAAGAGCAAGAAATGTCTGTATATATAAATCGATATTTCAAATATGAATGTCTTTATCAGAAACTTATAGTATACAAGAATAACAAATGTGTGCATTGAATGATAATTTTATTATTATGTTTCTGTTTTGTGATATACGTTTATTTTTAATTTTTAAATCCAACTGTCTAATTATAAAAGTCTGACAGTTAAGTCATTTTTTATAACAAAACCGACAAAAACCAAAACATACATACCCTAAACTTTAGATTTTAATTTAATTTAATTTTAAATTACTAAAATATGTGTTTTTGGCCACTAGGGACGCCATCAAAGTGCTCGAGTGTGTGCTTCTATAAATCGGAAATGACATCACATTTGTGGCCAATTCAAGACAGTGACATGAATTTTGTCTTTTACGACGTAACTTTAATAAATGTAATAATCATCTAAAATGTTTTAAATAACCTTTATGATTGTATTAATATAATCCGGCCATCTTTACCAAAAATGCTTAATTTCAGGTTTAAATGGAAATCATACATTCGATTTTATAAATGTTAATGTAAACAAAGTACAGAAATGACAAAAAAAAAAAAAAACACGAATAATCTTTTGGAATTTAATTAACCAAAATAATCAAAAGAAACAAACAAAATGATATAGATACATCAAGCAGTGTCCTAATGGGATTCATGCTTAGGCTCGATCGCTACTGAGTTGACTCACTGAGTTTGAGTTCAACATGACTGGTGTCATTGCCCAAGAAAAAAAAAACCAATAAAATCACACATGTCCTAAATAAAATTGGATCTTTTACTAATTTGGACAACTAACTTGATTTAAGAATCCAAATAACATGAATCAAGACAATATTTTGATATGCATTTCATTTTTTCGTGCCTAACCATTGAATCCAGTCCGACTCCAAACTGCATCCCGAACCCTGCTCAGGTCTCTGCCCTTTAGAGTTCGGCCTACACCCACAAAAACAGAATTGGCAGCCGAGTTATGACGTTCATAAGCTCGTGCTAGATACTCGTGAGGTGGGACCATATCTGAATCCGGATCATCGGTTATATCATCCGAGTCATGCATCGACTCAACCGAGTCGACTCGGTAGATCTTTGACCAGTCAGGCACATTCACAGGCGCTGAGGTGGCCACATGGCGTCCACGTGGAGATGAGAAGCTGTCTCCGTTGGGAAACTGGTGAACAATTCTGGGCGATGACATCACCTTCCCTGTTGCATCCTCAAACGCCGATGATAAACCTCCGACAGAGCTATCACCTCTTGGGACAGGGTTGCGGTGACGGCTCCTTGTGTTACTCTCCATGGTGGCGCGTGAGTTCCAGTCATGGTCGCTGCGGTTAACCATACCATCAACCATGGACCAGACATCATCTTCTCGAAGCTCCTCGCTGTCATCTCCTCCTGTTTGAATGGTGTTTACCCCATACCCGTAATTCCCTAACAAGAGCTCACTCCGACTGGTAGTCAGTTTCCGACCTTTAGCCATGTATCATAACAAGCCACCCAGGTACGATCACCGGATTTTTTAAATTTCCGGCGACCTAATTCAGGAGATTATGGTCGATACCTACTATAGTATATCTCTCTCCATAATCGGTGGAATTATTATCATACAGAGTCCGCCATTGAAGCACGAAGCTGTATATATAAGATTTTGAATAAAGAAACAAAGGTTGAATTTCATTTGAATTTGGAGTGAATTTGATGTGCATCTTATTTAAATAATGTCCAATCCGAGAACAAGTACATTAGATTACGAGGTTGTGAAAATTTGGAAGAAAAAGGAAAAAGGAAAAAAAGGAAGATAAAGACAAAATGGGAATTCCACGCGCAAGTAGCAGCGATTGGGTGCACGTGGGGTGTAGTTGAAAAGTGTGTTTTTTTGGAGTTAGAGAAGTTTGTTTACATGTATTGGATTCTTGCTGTCAGTAATATTTCATGTTTTACAGACGCTGATATGTCACCATTCCAAACCCGGCTTAATTAATTTCAAATTTAAGAAGTTTGTTTAAAGCAACTCCAATCATAAAACATTGGTGATTGTTTACAATTAAAATAGTGTTTTAAAGGTTAATTCGAATGAAAACACCATTTTATTGGTTTTTATAACTGTGTTTTAGTGGTTGGTTGAAGTTGATCTTAATAAAGTTATCCATAATATTAAAGCAATGGGTATGAATACAAAATTCATTAGAAAAGTAATGTCATCTATGTGTCACATCATTTTCATAGTATGTTCACTAAATATTCACCGGTTCTTGGAAATGCTTATCACTCCATATTATCTATATATATTTTTAAAACTTTTTTTTGACATTATATTAAATAAAAACACAATTATTAAACATAAATCAATATTTTATAAATATAAAAAAAAACATTAACTTAAATAAAAATAATAGTTTTAAAATACTAATAAAACATAACAATAGTAAAACATTGAAATTAAAAAAATACTACTCATCGTTGTCGTTGTCATCAATGCAATTCGACATCATTCTCATCGTCCGCAAACTCATCCTCCTGTTCGTCATTGTTATTGTGTTCTTCGAATTATCGTTGTCATATGTGTTCATTCAAATCTTGACGTAGATTGTGATGTGTTTCACTGTTTTATTTTCAAAAGCCTTGTAAAGTATGTTGGTCTAATGACTTGTATACTACGGGTGGATTGAGTATATTGTTCGTAGTACATGTAAAAATAGTCTAGGCTCTTCTTCTATTATCATGTTATGTAAAATAACACATGCTTTCATCACTTTCATCAATTTTGCCACATCCCATATTTGTGTTGAATGTTTGATTATATGTCACTTCTATTTGAGGACTCCAAACGCCCGCTCCACATCATTCCTTGCGGATTCCTATGCTAACTTGAAATCTTTTCATTTTTCAGTGGTCGGATATGAGTATGACTTGACAAATATAATGTACTTTGGATGTATGTCATCACCAAGGTAATACCCATAATTATATTCATGTCCATTTACAATGTATATGTGACAACCCAAAATTTCATTGAAGAAAAGTTAATCAAATCAATCAAAAGTTAGAGTTGTTTCTGTTAACTTTTAGCCCTGCTAAGGGTCAGTTTGAGAGTTTCTAAGCCTAGTCTAATGTATGAATGGATGCTAAGATGAGTTAGCTTGTGATCGGGAGGATTATTTCGAACCAGAAAACCACTCATAAGGTGTTCACGGACGCAAACTAGGTTCACGGCCGTGAATCACCTCCTATATATATATATATATATATATAATGCTCATTTTCTTCTCATTTCTCCTCCTCCAAACCGTGAACACTCCCATTCTCTCTCAATAAGCTTTGACCGTGAACCCTCCAAAGCTCTAAAAACGTAAGTATTTCAACCTTAAACTTGTTATACTTGAAAGATTACTAGATCCTAGCCTTGATTCCTCATGATTTATCACCACCTTCATGAATTTGGAGGGATCACAGCCGTGAACCCTTCATAAGGGCTGTGAACCCTTCATATGTTCATTGGACTGTAAACACCTCATGAGGCCGTGAACTCTATAAGGTCGCAAACCCATCCTTGGGTGGCTGCGAAACCCCTTCCAAGCTTCCATTTGGGGATTGAACAGTTCATTTAGGGTGTTTCCTACAATCTTAGGTAGTTTCCTATACTAGTTAGGAGTTATAACCACTAATTGAATACACATATGTGTGTTTATATGCCTTATAGGATCCAACTGTGCTTCAGAACTTCAATTGTGAACTCAAGCATCCTATATCTATCATACCTTCCAGATCACTCACAATTAGGTGAATTCATTCCCCTTACAATCAACCTTTTACATGTTTTAAATGCTTTTAAGGGGGAAGGGGGGGGGGGATACAAGTTGAAACACAACAAACTGTATTGAGATCTACATTTGAATTCCTACAAACATAAGAGCATTACTATCTTCAAATGCTATTACACTTTGTTTTCAAAACCATTCTTAAAATAACTTATAAACTATTCTTACTTTCAAAATCTTATTCATATAAATATTTATGTATAAATATACTTTAATAGACTTAGGAATAATGTTAACAACCTTGACTCCTATTCCTTGTTTGGTTGTAGGCTTAGGGTAGGATTCATTAGTCCTACTGTCAATTAGACAATACTTATACATACTAAATACTTATATGAATATTAAACCTCATTTTTCAAGGATATACTTAACTTAATCATTTATGATTAACAAATGAGTCTTTCAACAAGTCAGTTATACAACAAACATGATGGTAAACTATAACAGGTATAGTTTAGAGAATTACTAATTACTCTTCTCGCACAATGAAACTTACATGAGTCAGATCATTCATACTATACAAGAACAAGAAGGAACATTTAAATTTACAAAAAAGAACATATTCATTTACAAAAGGAACATTTACACTATAACTAGAACAAGATAGCAATAATGTGAGATACTATTTCATGGCACAGCAATATACTTGCTGTGTCACGTTTTTGTAACCAGAGTGTCATGGAGGGAGAGCGTGAGTTTGTGTATAGATCTATACGGGATTGACCATCCCACACCTCATTGCTAGCTACAGTGGGATCTGCAGGTCCATGGGTGAACAAATGTCATACCTTTTTGGCGCCTGAAAAACGTCATGTACTTATACTAGGTCGATCAAGCATGGTTACAACTCTATCACATTTTCATTTAAATTAACCAACTTGATTATAAGATGGTAAACTAATATTTGAGTATCATTCATTAGTACAAATAGGTTATTTACATTGCTATAAAAGAACAAACAACAAATGATACGGTCTTGGTAAGAGACTACATTTTCATTATAATTAGGAAATATAGGATATTTTAGGAAAACAAACAAACCTTTTTATGAAACAACCATAACCTATTTTCTAAAGTAAATACAATATAATGACACTAAATTGCTTATGAACTCACCATCATAAATGCTGATTTGCACTTTCAAAATAACTTGTATCTTCAGGTCACCAGTAGACAGGTACAGCTGGCCAGGTTTTGCGAAGACGGAGCTTATTCAAGACTCGTCTCATTCTTTTGATAATACATTCATTTTTGGTGTCATTTAAACTTTACAAAGAACACACTTGTATTAACTATACAATTTAATGCAATGGATGTTGCTGCTTGATTTACTATATTGCATTGTTATGATACTGTACCTAACTTTCTCCACCACAGAACGTTTCCTTCGTTCCGATTTTGGGGTGTGACCGTATAGCATGTTTGGTGATTTACCCTACAGAATGTGATTAAATAACGGAGGTGCTCTAAGTACATTCAAGTCTTTGTTTGACCCTATCATACCAAAAAATGCATGTCAAAACCATTGGTCATGTGAAACAATTGCTTCTAGTATAATAGTCGGCACGTCATGACCCCCTCGCATTAATTTCCCTCGCCATGCATTAGAGCAATTTTCCCACACCCAATCTCTACAATCAAGGCTACCAAGCATTCCTGGAAATCCATGTTTAGCTTCACGTGTGACATACAACTGTTCGACATCACTTCTAGTTGGATTTCGCATGTATATATCACTATAAATCTGTATAACATACTCACAAAAAAAAATATGTACATTGTTGACTGGTCCTCGTAGACATTTTTAAATATTCATCTAAAACGTATGTGGCTAGGCCGTATCCCAATTATCTAACAGTTGTTGTGCATTTTTTAAATGTAGTAAAACCATGTTTACCTCTAGCACCCCATTTCAACTGAAAAAACTCATAATTATTTTCCTAATCTCTTGTTATACGTACGAATAAATTTCTACTAATACAAAAACGATCTTCGAATTTTGATAGGTCGTATAAACTATCGGTGGTAAAGTAGTCACTTACCAAAAGTTTGTTTGCCGTAATATGATCCCAGTTGATCAACTTTCTACATTTTCTTCACGACATTTGAACTTTCACCTCTATGACACACAATGTCGTGTGCCGCAGACAACAACATGTACGTAATCAACTCATCATCATCAGAATCATCTTTATCGGATGAAGACGAAGAAATAACACCCAAAAAATAATAAACATACTATTGAATGTATTTGTTGCGAGATATTTGATGTGTATTATTTGTTTGTATATATAGGTGATGCTTTAATTAAAAAAAATATTTTTTTTATTTTCTAAAAGGTCCCAAATAGAATGTCGAACGATCAAAATTCGTATAACCAATCAAATTGTCCATGACCAGCACCAATCTGTGTCACACTTACTCCTACTTGGGGGCGATGTTCACACGTGAACAACACCTCCACGTAGATCCTTAGGCACTATTTCGCCCCTGCCTAACCATTAACTATTATAGTGGTAGATGTCACATCATTATCACATTCAACAACTTAACCTATAGTATACCTACCACTAGAACACCACTCCAAATCATTTGTTTATTTTTTTTAAATTTAACAATACATTAAAACATATGTATTTTTTAAACTAGTTTTTCATTGAAT